TAGGCCTCAGGAGGCGACTCCTCCGCCCCAGTTGAGCACTGGACCCCTGCCAGGAGGCGGCCGCCAGCCTGGAGACACCTGCGGGCGGGAAGGGTATACTCCAAAACTCTCAACAGGCACCTGCCTCTGAGTGGGATGAGGGAGACAGGCAGGGCGTGGACGTTCTGGGTTCTTGCTGCAATGACCTTGGCAAAGTCACTTGACCTCTCTGGGCCTCGAGAGATCACAAAGTTCAGGGTCACCTGGAAGCAGGGTGGTGCCACCAGCAAAGGAGAAGGGAGAGAGGCAGGGAGAGACACAGGGGAAAGGAGTGCTCCCTCCAAGGAGCGATCCAGCTGAGGGCTCAAAACAAACCAGCAGTAGCACGTGACCAGGGGCAGGCCCCACACTTGCTCTGCACCCAGGATCTGTAGCATCCTCGGGTCCCTGGACCCCTGCTCACTGCTCCACCTCTCACCCTCTCCCTGGAGGCCCAGCTCTCTCCCGGGTCCATTCTACGCCCACAGCAAGTGCTCAGCAGCGCTCAGGCAGCTGAGTCTGCATGTGACTTTCTATGCTCCCCTTGGTCCCGATGTGGCGGGGGAGAACGGAAGCTGGGCGGGAGTGACCTGGTTTGGGCCTGTTGGCTGGTTTGGTTTTTCGTTCCCATTTCTAAAACCAACCAACAAAACCACCCCTACCACGACAACAGCAGCCCAAACCTTCCACCTCTGGGGGCTGCAGGGCATTTACGGAAGAAGCCCCCAGGAAGGGCAAGATCACTCCTCCCTCCCCTGAAAAGCTATACTTGTTTGTTTTTTTTTAAAGAAAGTTGTAAAAAAGACAGACACATATTGAGAGTGTATGTTTTTAAGGGACCCAAATTCCACCACACAGAGCTAACATCCATCAACATTTGGGCACCCCCCACTGCACACACCCGTATAGTGGGGTTATACATTTGTCAAAGTGCCAGGCCCCTCTGTTCCCCCTGCTGGGGACCTGGAGCTGGCAGGAAGTCCCCCCAATTTGTCCCTGTAATCACTGCCTCCTCCTCTGGGAGTCCCAGCCCTGACCCTTGGGCACTCTCAGTGGTCTCTGCTCACCCTGGCCCCCCAGCTGGCTTCTCCCTAATTACATAAAACCCTGGGGGCGATTTCCCTCCATCCACCTCTGCTCCAGATGGAGGCCCAGAGCTGCGCCCAGGACACGGGAAGCCCGGGAAGCCAGGGTTTTCATCTGCTGCTGTGCCTCGGGGGCGGGGCTGTGGGATCCAGAAACTGTGGCAGGAGTCTGGGACACAGAAACAGGCCTGGGAGGGTACAAGCAGCCATGTGGTTCTCCTCTTTCACACCGATGGGTCACGAAGGTTAATGCCAGCGAAGTGGCTCAGAAAGGAGAGCCACGGAAGAGAGCAAACACCCAAACACCATGTCAACTCGACAGTGACCCAGGGCAGCTCAGCCTCCTGCTGACTGCGGGGGGCGGGGATGCTCCGGTGTGAATTCTGTCAAAGGAGGCCAGGCCAGAGAGCGGACCCTGGGTGCAAGGCCCTGAGGAGCTCCCTCTGAGGACTCTGGTAAGAGGCTACAAGCCCGGCGGCTTCCTTGGCCCGCGGAGGCAGACCAGCGCCCGAGGCCTGGGCCTCCCGCTCCACTGTGGGAAGTCTGCAGGTGAATGGCAGCAGCATGCTGGCATCTGGCCTGGCCTGCTGGTCAACAGCCGCCATCAGCACCCTCACAGGCCCATCCAGAGGCTCCAGAGGCGGCAGCCACGGCGCTGGGTGTGGGTCACGACGGGGGCCGACGGGCTTGAAAGAGCAGCCCCTCTGATGCCAGAGACCCTGGGAAAAGGCTGGGAAAGGGTGCAAGAGGCAACTGGTCAGCCCTGACCGGCCCAAGCCGGGGCTGACAGGAAAGGCTAGAGTCTGCCATGCCATCAACCCCCTAGCACGCTTCCTCTGCAGTGGCAAAAAGGCAACTACTTTCAGTTTTGCAGGCCAGGTGGTCTCTGGAGCAACCACCCAACTCCGCTGTTGCAGGCAAAAGCAGCCAGAGACCGCTTGTCAATGAATGGGTGTGGCTGTGTGCCAATAAAACTTTATGAACATGAAATCTGAGTTTCGTCTTAAGTGACATGTTGCACTGTCTTCTTGTGATTTTTTGCACAACTCTTTAAAAATCATTCTCAGGTTGAGGACCACACAAAGGTAACCTGCCAAATTTGGCCTGCGGGCCCCTGTTTGCTGAGCCCTGCTCTAGAAGAAGAAAGAACACAAATACCTGAAATTCACAGAGGCCGGCCAGGTGCAAGAATTTGGCATCTAATGTGCCAGCACAGAGGGAGCATGACAGAAAAGGGACAAGGGGGGTGGGGGGACTTCCTAAGAGCCTGAAGTAGGTGAAGAACCAAGTTGAAAGTTTCTAAAATCTGGAAAGTGGTTGAGGCTCCTGAGTGGCTCAGTCGTTAAGCATCTGCCTTCAGCTCAAGTCATGATCCCAGGGTCCTGGGATCGAGTCCCGCATCAGGCTCCCTGCTCAGCGGGGAGCCTGCTTCTCCCTCTGGCCCTCCCCCATGCTCATGCTCTCTCTCTCAAATAAATAAATAAAGTCTGTTAAAAAAAAATAAAAATAAAAAATAATAAAATCTGGAAAGTGGAGATGCTCTCCCTGGGTTCCAAGGAAGGTATCAGAAGGAACTGGCCCAAGCACAGATGGGGGTGGGCAGCTCAGGCCGGCAGAGAGAAGCCCTTGCTTAGGAAAAGCATCCTGGGATCCTCCCCCAACCCCACTATCCATTCCCTAAAATGCGGCCAAGGAGCCAGCAGGTCCCTGAGAACCACCCGACCTCAACCATCTCCCTGCCCCTGCCGGGTCCTGCCTCTGACACACCTCAGCTATGGCTGTCTGCGAGGGGCCAGGTGCCTTCGCGGCATCTCCGGCCTCGACTAGTTACTGGGCAGCAGAGCTTCGAAGAGGCAGAAACCGCCAGCCCGTTCCACCGCCGAAAAGCCTGCGGGCTGCCATCCAGCACTGCATGGCCAGGCGCCCCATGGCCAATGGCCACTCCCGGCTGAAGTCCTCGCCTTCCTGCCCCGCGGTCGGGGCAGCTGGGGTGGCTCTACGTGGGAGCCCGGCACAGGGCCCGGCCACCCGCCTGAACCCCGGCTTGCGCAGAGCGCTGCACACCACTCGCTCAGTAATTTCACGCTACACCGCCTGGCAATGTAAGCGTGAAGGCCCAATCTAAGGCGGCGCTTCCCAAATGTCACTTGTTTGTGAACACATGGCTGAACCCAAAATTGCTTTTAATATCTGGGCAGTCCCTGCTGGCCCCACTGCAGTTCCGGTGCTGACAGCACCTCCAGGACAAGCCTGCAATCTTGTCCAGAGCTTACAACTCAATCACAGCTCCCACCGCGGCCGGGGCTCTCGGCGCACACAGGCCCCACAGAATTCTCCGTGCACGGTCTCACCGTCCACAGTGCCCCATGGTCACGTGAGCAAAACCACACGCTCCAGGACATTCCATCATTCCTTTAGCTCAAAAGAAAAAGTCCTGGGGTGCCTGGGTGGCTCAGTTGTTAAGCGTCTGCCTTCGGCTCAGGTCATGATCCCGGGATCCTGGGATCGAGTCCCACATCGGGCTCCCTGCTCAAAGGGAAGCCTGCTTCTCCCTCTCCCACTCTCCCTGCTTGTGTTCCCTCTCTCGCTGTGTCTCTCTCTATGGAATAAATAAATAAAATCTTTGGGGAAAAAAAAGAAAAAGAAAAAATCCTGATGCTCCCACCTCTTCTCTTTCAGTGAAGCCCAGCATCTCTGCCAAAGACAGCACCCCCCAGGATAACAATCCCGACACTCCTAACCCCCCAAGTGCCTCTCCAGTCTCTTTCCTGCAAAGCTCAGTTCCTTTTCTGAACTGCCCTGAAACAGCGAAGCTAGAAAAGTGAGTGGTTAGAAACATAAAGGGGAGCCCATCCGTCTAGCCCTGAGCTGCCCACCAGAGGCAGGACGCAAGCCACCTGTGTAATCTTCGGTCCAGTCGCCACACTCAAACCATGAAAAGAAACAGGCAAAATTCACTTTAATGATATATTTGGTTTAACCCAATCTATCCAAAAACATCGCCTACATAACCAGCACGAACCAATTATCTGCGTGATATTTCATGTCGCTTGTCATGCACCGAACCTCGGACATGGCGTGTGTTACCCCCACAGCTCAAGGCCACGACACCCACACATGGCCAGTGGCCTCCGTGCCGATCCCCACGGGGTCACGACTGCTGGGTCTTGTGAGAAACCCTCCAACTACCCTGGTCCTGGGCGCTGACTTGGAACTGGCCAAGCGATTCCTCGGAGTAACCCCCAGGCTCCAACTTGGGAGGCTGATGGGAAGCACCCTGTTTTCACACCGCACTGGCCCTGCTGGAGGGGGTTCTCCTGTTCCTCGTGCCCCAGTGCTAGAGAGACACCCATGAGTAACTGGGCTGTCTGCAGTGGAGAGAGGCCGATGGGCTGAAACCCTGGGCCAAAGCCTGAGCCCAGCCTGACGGGAAGAGCGTACCACCTTCTGCAGAGGCCGGAACAGGGGCCCAGGGCTGTGGCGGCAGTCCTCGGAGGAAGGCCCTTGGTACAAGCCTGTTCCCACCAACAGCCCCTCCTCGCAGCAAGGCCCTCTGAGACCCAGAACAGCAAATTTCCAGGAAAAGAATCAGAGGAGTCCTCTTGCCCTTCAGTGATCTCCATGGACGGCCCAGACACCAGGGCCCAGAGAGCAGGGTCTGCTGGGGAAGGAAAGCCCCCGGCTGCAGGTCGCAGGCCCCATGCCTCCTCCCTGCTCGTTCCAGGGGAGGAACATTCTGGGGATGAGTTCACTGAGGATCCCAGAATCAGACCCTGGCGGAGAGACCAGGCCCCTGTCAAGTCTAAGCGGAAGCCACAGAGGCCCTGGTCCGAGGGAATGGGCTGAGAGGGGCTGACCCCCCGTTTAGACCCCTTCGCAGGCTCTGCAGGCACTTACCTGAGTGGCCACCTTGCCATAATCAATCCACCGCAAAGTGGCAAAATTGGTAGATTCTGCACAGTTGAACCCGTGATTGAATCCAGCATGGTAGCCATAGGGAAACGTGATCATGAACTCCCCGGCTTCCTGTGTGATCTGAGGAGGAAAGAGCCGACAGGTGAGCAGGAGCAAACAGGCGAGGGGCAAGGCCTGGAGTCAGGAATGGCGGTTACCACGCGGCTCCCCTACTGGAAGCAGAGCCGGCCTGGGGCAGGCAGAGTCTGGTGGCCAACGCCACCAGGAGCCACCAGGCGGCACAGTAGGGGCACGTGGACTCAAAGATTTCCCAACAAGTGCCAGGGAGCCCCAACTTCGGCAGCCAATGGACTTCTGCCCAGTGGAAGGTGGCTCCGCCTAAGTCCAAGGGCTCCAGCCAATTTCCCACGGGGCAGTAGGTGTGGCCGTGGCCTGGACAAGAGCTGCCACCAGCCCCGGGCGGGGCCCCAAGGTGACCGACGCATGGGGCTGTTGAGGGCCACGCCTCCAGGCACTCTCGGGAGGGAGGGGTTCTCCTGGTCTGGAGGCAGGTGGTCGTGTCCCGCCTGCTGTCCACCGTAGGATGTTCGGAAACGGCTGGCATCAGCCACAGTGACCCCCCCAGCACAGGGCGGGGCGTGCTCTAAGTACAGGGTCTCGCCCTTGTGAGGAAAATAGGTCTAGCTGCACACACGAAACATTCCTGGAAAATAACCTAAGTCCTCTGGCTGTCATAAGCCTGGGTCTGTCCCTTATATCCCAGGAGGTGGCTCCTTCCAAGTGAGGTCAGAGAGGCCAGAGAAACGGCGTGTTATAAGGACACAATGTCAAGGTCGGAACTCTGTCAAATGAGCTGATGATGGTTCCAGACCTACTCAAATGGTCTGATCCAGCCTCCAAAACAGAGACCCCAAACCAAGGAGCTGGGTGTGAGTGAGTGACAGGGAAGAGGGCCCACGAGGAGCCCAGACGGAAGCTTCTGGAACCTCCACCCCAAGGCCTGGAGGAAAAGGTGGGAGCTGTAGCCTCCCCCCCGGACTCCCTCTCTCCTTCCCCCCGGGGTGGCACTGAGCCCTTCACCCAAGCACTCCAGAAGATGTGGGATCCAAAAGAAAGACAACAAGTTAAAGTGGTCAGTGTCCCAGAACATGAGAGGTGGGGCTGGAGGCCCAATTCACGGATGTGGAAACCGAGGCTGGTGGCGAGAGTGTAACTTTGAAGTCCTTGACTGAAGATTTGGTAGAAGCCACAGATTACAGGTTGTCTGGAGTTGGGAGTAACCAGCGCCCCGAACGGGAACGGACCACCGCAGGCAGCCCCCCACCCAGCAATCCCCCCACCGTGAGATGTGCCTCGTCACTGAGGAGTACATTTCTTTCTCGGGTTTTGTGAAATGGCTTCGCACGGACTGTGCTCTTGTGTCTGCCTCTGTCCCTTCTCGCTCCTAAAGGGAGCCGCGCTGTGTAGATGTATTGCTGGGTGCTTCCCCGTCCTCTGCCGACAGACCGTGGGCTGTTTCTGGAGTGGGGCTCTGGTGAGTGTTCGAGAACGCATTGGGGCCCGTCTACTTGCAGACACATGCCTGCATTCCTGCAGGGTCTCCTGGCGGCGGCACATCGGGTTCCCAAGAACCTGCCCAGCAGTTTTCTGCGACGGTCCCCCCATTCAGCATCCACGCTGCTGGTGGTGGGGAGTCCCCATCGCTTTCCTCCTCGCCGGCGTTTGGGGGTGTTCCTCCAGGTGGGCCCAGGATCTCGTGGTTTCGATCCCCTTTCTCTGAGGCCTACGACGCCTGGGTCTGCGTCCCTTTTGCAGGGACCCCCTTTTGCAAAGTGTCTCCTTCTGCCCCCATTTATCAGGTTGTTCACCTTTCTACTGTAGCTTTGTAGGAGTTCTCAGGCTTGCTAATCTTTGTTTATTCCTCCAGAGAGATGAGCAGGAATTGCTGGATTCATTTAAGTCACCAAGAAGAAGTCAGACCCTGAGGGGGTGGGGGCGTGGGGGATGGGGGGGCGGAAGACTTCCAAAAGCCAACCACAGAGTCAAAAATCAGTCAAAACTGACACAGCCTGGAGAAAAGCCAGTCCTTAAGAACATGATATTTTTCTTTTCAAGTAATGAATTGTACCAATCAAGGGAAGTCAGTGTGCATTAAGTTATATTTTAAAATTCCTGTCCAAGTGACAGGCGTGTGGGGGATGAAGCCCATGCACAGCAGGAGACTGGGGTGGGGAGAGAACACTCAGTGTCCCAGAGGCGCCAGCAACCCCCACCCCCACCCCCCACCCCCGGCACAGCAAGGATTCTCTGGGCTGGCTCCGTGCACCGGGCTGTGTGAAATGGGTGGTAAATACAATTAAAATTAAAATGTAGGGATTTTTTTTTTCTTTGAAAACGTAATTACTCATTTCCTTATCCTTTTTGAGCTGACCTTGGACAACATCATCCAGCCCTCCCGCCGAGCTGGCTTGCCTGCTCCCCTCCCTCCCTCCCTTCCTCCACCAGGGTACCGGCAGGCACGAGGCCTGGCATGAGCGGGGAGTCTCCCGGGCACGCTGCGGGGTCCCTGCGGGGCCAGCTCTGAGAGCCTGGGTGTGAGGGGAGGTGCCTCCGGCCCCCACTCGGGCAGACCACAGTGCCTCACCTTCCCGCACGACCCCTCCATAAACCAAGGCCTAGAACTGATGTGCTCAGGCCGGCAAGGAGATGATTCTCCTGTCACAAAACCAACATCCTGGTGGCTTCGTCTCAAGACCACGGTGTCCATCCTCCGTGTCACCGCAGTCCACATTATCCCGACAATAAATTAGAAGGCACTTGGGATGACGGATAGGCCGTGTGGCAAAGTCATAAGCAGAGCAGGGAACACCAGCCCACACGCCAGTCATGGAGGAAGCCTGAATTCAGCTGCTTCCCCCAGCGCTCGCAGGATAAATGAGGAAGTCCATGGCAGATTACAGAAATACACACTTTTAATTATTAAAAAGCTCGGCTATTGATCTGCTTTTTCTTCTAGAAGTAAATACCATTACAAAGATTTATAAGTGGAGCGTGGGAGTCACTCCCCCCCCGGGCTGCCAGGAATTCAGATAAGGGGACCCACATGGACCCGGACGGGGCATTCATCTGGAGCCTAACGCTGCTCCCTGCTCACTCCTGGCCCAGCCTCGGCCTTCGCCCCGCAGGCCCGTGGGCAGCTGAGGGCCGGGCTGGTGGCAGGGGAGCACGGCCTCTGAGAGCCAGCTGCCCCAGGGCCAGGAGGCCACCGCCTTCGGGTGCTTTCAGGCATTTCGTGCAACAAGCACAGTGCTGTGCAGAGAGCGACGCAAGGGAGGGGACGCCTCTGACCGGCCTCTCTCTCGCTCTCTCTCTAGGAAGCACCGCCTGGGAGAACGCTCTCCACAACCCACAGGAAAGCAAGTCCTTCTCACTCCTGGGAGCAATGCCGTGTCTGTCCGTGAGGTTCCTGGTAACCAGCGGTGTTCAAATCCCAAGACGAGGAGAGGAGACGGAAGCATGGAAACCTGCATTTCTCAGGGCAGAACGTGCCGCGCTCTGATGGACGAGCCCGACAGCGAGAGCGAATCCCCGATCTGAGCACTAATGCTGTGGGCGATGTGATTGAAATGTCAGAAGCAATTTCCAACTCGCTGACACTCCTAGCAAGAGTGCGGCATGAGGATCTGATTGCAGAACTTGCTCCCGTACCCGACAAATGCTCTTGTATGGAGACCCTCAGGAACCAGAATCCCAGGAGGGGCCTCCTCTCCCTGGCCTGCCATCACTACCCAGCCCAAAGTCTGCTCGGGCCTCTCCGGAAGGTTCTGGGCACATCCCTCTGGTCCAGACCACCCTGGGGACACAGGCCTAGACCTTCCCATCCAGGAGGCTTGTCTGCAGGGAAAGGCTTGCCTGCGGTGGATACCTGCCGAGCCCCACCCCAGGGCAGAGCCCCCAATGAAGGCCCAGACCCGGGTGCTGGCCTTCCACCCCCCACCCCCCCACCCTGACTGCCCAGCTTCAGGCCTCATTCATCACAGCCTTTCCCGGGGACAAGCGGAGCACTCCCTGGACCAGCAAATTGAATGAGTTCACAGTCTCCACGCTGTGGGAGAGCCAGATAGTTCATTTCTAAACAGGTATTCATTCTTGCAAAGGACGTCTGCAGTGGGCCATGGGCTGCACCCAGAGATCAGGACGAAGCGGGGGGCGGAGGGGCCTGCCCAGTTGTCCTGTGGCTTCCTGGGAAGTTGGCAGGAGCTGCCCATCCACTGCAACCCCAGCCCTGTAGGACCCTGAGGGCAGGGGCGGGGGCAGCCAACAGGCACACAGGGCAGGGGACTGAGCGTGGGAGTGGGAGTTATGTAAGGCAAGACCCCACCCAACTCTCCCCTCTTCCATCCTCATTCCCCACCACGGTAGAGCTGGAGGCTGACTGCCCAGCCAACCTGCCCTCCCCCCTGGCTTGCCAGTGTTCTAGAACCTTCTGCAGGCTTAAGAAGCCAGCTTCCTGGGACATTGGTGGTCCCCTCGGCCGGGGCCCCAGCAGCCCCTACGTACCCGGCTGAACGGGATCCCGTACTTCTTGAGGATGATGGGCGAGATGAGGGTCATCTTGTGCCGCAGGAAGGCATCACAGCCCTGGGAGCTCCCGGGGAAGAACCCTGGAGCAGAGAAGATGGGCATCAGTCTGGTGGGCCAGAGCTGCGCAGGCCTCTTTGGGCAGCATTCGCCTCCCATCAGGCCTGCAGCTCCAAGGGAACAAAACGCACAGGACCCTGCCGGTCAGTGAGCCCAGAGCCAAGGGTGGGCCAGGGCCATCTGTGCAACAAAGTGTACCCCCAGAGCCACAGATGGGGTGCAGGCCAGGGCACAGCTGCACAGAACTCCCCTCTGAGCACTCCCCACATAAAACCCGCCACGTGGCATGCGCCCAGTCGCTCGGCCAAGGCAATGGTGCAGCCGGGGAGACGGGACACGGGAGCAGATGCGCTCAACCCAGGGAGCCGTGAGCAGTGCCCCCCCCACAACCAAGTCTGCAGCAAAGAGGGAGGGGGCCCCCTATGTGGGCACGGGCTCCCCTGGGCTCTTCCCACACGTGGTCCCCGCGGCAGGCGGAGGCGGAGGCTCCGCCTTCCAACTGACCGTCCGAGGCCCACGGTGTGCTGGGAAAGGGGCAGAGCAGCCTGGGCCAGGCCTGACCATCTGCTACCCACAAGGTGGTTCACGTTCGGCTATGCTTCCTGTCTCACGGCATATACCACATAAGTCATTTAAAACAATGTTCGTCAAGTGCACGGAAGGCAGACCATCAGCTCTACTTGCTCAGAAAATGTGTTTCACTAACTCACTCACTGGCTGAAGCTCCCACCAATGACATGTAGGTCTTGAGGTTAAAGAAAAGCCCCGGGATTCCACGCAAAGGTGCTGGGCTCCTCACCCGAACCGTCACCGAGAGGCGGCCAAGAAGGGCTGCCTCACAAACTCGGCAAGGTCTGGGATGTGCCACAGCAGCAGCCGGTTCTTCCTGGGGTCCAGCTCCCTCCAGGACGGACCCCAGGAACAACCGGCCTGGGGACCCTCCCGGGGGCCAACCCAGACCGTGGGCCCCCAGCCTCCAGGCCAGTGCACACCCCCGACGGGTGGCCAGTTAGAGGGCACACTCGCGTGTGTATGGATGTGCTGTGTACGGACACAGGGCCTCACCCACACACCTGCTGGTGGCGGGGGGGGGGGGGGCTTCTAAGCGACAGTGTTGGGGGTGGGGGCTGGGAAGCCTGCCAGCAAGGACACAACTGTAACTGCGAGGTTCTAGAAAGTGCGAGGGAGGGGCGCCTGGGTGGCTCAGTCATTGAGCGTCTGCCTTCGGCTCAGGTCATGATCCCAGGGTCCTGGGATCGAGCCCCGCATCGGGCTCCCTGCTCAGCGGGAGGCCTGCCTCTCCCTCTCCCACTCCCCCTGCTTGTGTTCCCTCTCTCGCTGTGTCTCTCTCTCTCTGTCAAATAAATAAATAAATAAATCTTTTAAAAAAAAGAAAAAAAGAAAAAGAAAGTGCGAGGGATTACTGAATCCAGCGACTTTCCTCGGTGCTAAAAGTGTTTCAATTAGAGTTATAGCCCCTGCTGCCCGGCCCGTGGCCTCTCTGCAGTCCCTCTTTTTAATGCACAGTTTAAGTGGCTCTCATTAAAGTTCTAATAAAGGCGCACATTTCAAGTGATTAGCACCAATAATGCGCCAACACATTAATGCTCTCTCTGTGGGCTCCACGACTCTCCCAGCGAGCCCATTCGGAGCTCGGCTATTCATTTTCCATATTCATCGCAAACTCATTCCATCCATCTCAATAATGGAGTCTGTGACGCATGTCCCCCAAAAAGTTTGGAAGGGACACGGAGGAGGGCAGTGACTCACTTGCCCTAGAACCTCTCCCATCCTCCCTCTGAGGAGGGGCGCAGGGGAAGCATGAGGCCAGCCCTCCCACCAACGCCACACCTTCCCACCCTCCCCCAGGGCAGACAGCCCTGGTCCCCGTGCCGAGGGGTGACTTAATGAGTCCACACTGATCACGAAGCAACGATGGGGTGGCCCCCACAGGCCTCTAGCTCCTGGCTCCTCCTCTCCCAGCACCCCGCCCCCCGAACCTCCCGCATGTGCCCAGAAAGCAAACCAGGCCAGATCTAGGGACAGCAGGGCCTCGGGGACAGGAAGGACGTGGGGAGCAGGCCCAGCTCCAGGGAGAGTAGCCATGGCCCCAGAGGATCCCGGGTCTAGCTTTTCTAGGTGGCACTCAGATCATCCAAGACTTTTCTTTTCTGATAAAACAGGCAGAGAGAGGAAGAACACGCTGGGCGCGGCTAACTGCAAAATCCCAGGGGACACTAAGCAGAGACGTAGGCAAGGGCGGGTGATGCCAGCCCTGTGGTCACCAGAGAGCACCCGGGTGGACCATTCAGTGGCGCTTTCACCCATGGCTGTGTAGGGGAGAGAAGCTCAACAGTGGCCCCCCAAGATGTCCACGTCCTGCTCCCCAGAACCTGGGACTATGTTCTCTTCCGAGTGGCAGGGGCTCCACAGACGGGATTAAGTGCAGGACCCTGAGATGGGGGCCCCGGTGTCCCCACAGGGTCTCCATGGGAGCGAGGCAGAGGGAGGCCATGTGACCACAGACCCGGCCACAGGCTGGAGCCAGTGCCTCTGGAGGCCGGGACGGGTGGGAGAGCCTGCCTGAGCCACAGGAGGCGCCAGGCCAGCCCACGCCTGGGTTTAGCCCAGCGAGGCCCACGTTGGACTCCTGACCTCCAAACACGAGGGAATGAGCCTGGGGGGTCAATCTGGGCTCTTTTAGGACAGTTTCAGGTTCACAGCGGAAACAGAATCGCGCTGTTTCGAGCCAGTGACCCCATGGTGATTTCTGACAGGGGCAACAGGAAAAGAAAACAACGGGGAAAGGTATTTTTTAACTTATATTTTGAAATTAGTATTTGTAGTCTAAATTTGCATTGTAAAAAAATACGGTGGGAAAACATTTTAATTTGGTTTCTATTTTAGATCTTAATAAATAAGAGAAATCGCCCTCTGCTAGGACCTGACTGGCATTTCCACGGTGAGACGCATGCTCCTGATAGTGGGGTTCAGCCCTGCCCGTGAAGACAGAGTCCGGGTTTCCAACAGAAAGGTGAACACGACAACAGGGCCTGCCTCGGGGCTGGGCAAGCCTGGGCCTGGGGGTCTGGCCCCACTCTCTGACAGGCCTCCCCCTGTCCTCATCCTCGGGGCAGCTGTGTGTAGCAGCCGTTTGCTAGCAGATGGGCAACTCTGGGGGCAGCTAGGACGGGAGGCCCATTTTCCAGAAAGCTCCACCATTTCCATCTCCAAAGTCAACACGGGCAGGGGAAGAGCACGGTGGGCATTCTTCAGGGGAAGGCATGAGGAAGGCACAAAGGACAGCAGCAGGCCTCATGAGGGAGGCTGCACCAACGCTGAGTGATGGCTTCTGGAAGATTTCATGGCTGCCAGGGGAGAGGGCTCAGGCTGCCTGTCACCGCCACCCAGAGGGTCAGGGTGATCGGATGGGCCCCTGCACTGTCCCAGCAGCTCCTGAACAACGGGGCCGGCTCCCCAACCGCCCCGCCAGCCTGGGGGCTGCCTGCCAGTGAGGGCCAGACTCTTTGGGCCAGCGGGGTCTCTTCACATTGTCCCAGGCGCTTACAGCCACCTGGCGTCAGAACAGAGAGCAGGGCACCGTGACGGGGAGCAACGCGGGAACCCCACCAGCCCCTCTGTCGGGGTGGTCGGGGGCCTCAGCGTCACCCAGTTGGGGGTCTGGCTTGTCTCCAAGGATCCTACGTCCTGAGGGTCTGCCTTTACCCCAAGTGGTCAGTGCCTCCTCTCCAGACACAGCCTGGGACCCTCCCTGGCAAATCCCCTCAGCCCAAGAGACCCCTGAGGGGCTGCTGGAGGGGATGTCTGCAGAGGGAGCCCAGGGAGGCAGCCCGCGCACACACAAGCAGACAGCCTGCGGTCACCATGCAGCTGCGGGGCACAATCACTGGACTGCTCGTTTTCCAGACTAAACGCAGACTGTAAGACCTAGAGGAGGGCGTGATGTAGCACCAGGCGCCGGGAGGAAGACAAAAGAACGTGGCTGCCCTCCCCGGCCCGCGGGGGCCTGCAGTCACATCTGGCAGCTCCGTGCTAACAACCCGGGAAAAACAGAGTTGAAAGCAATGGCATCCTGTGCATCGTTCACGATGTGACAAATCCCATGGGGAGGGGGGGTGGCACAGCAATCTGATCACGAGTGGGAAAGGAAATGGAAAAATCAGACAGTGACATCTTCCGGCACGCCACCACACCCAGAGATGGAAACTCGCACAAAGAGGGAGACCCAGGACCACGGGGCTGCCGCCCCCACCCCCGCACGCCTGCCCGCCCGCAGCCCAGCCCCCAGCCCGGGGGCGCGGACACCTACCGATGGCCAGCCGCTCCAGGCGCTTGCCGTGCTCAGGCGGGATGGCGTACCTACGAGAGAAGGGAGGCACGTCAGACGCGACGTCGTGTGGCCACCACGCATCTGAGGGGCCCCGGGGCTGCAGCCACGGCCTCAGAGCAGAACTGAGCCGCAGCCACCGTGGGCGTTGTGAGAAGGGTGAAGGACAGCGGGGAGGCTGTCAGGGCAGGGACTCACACGGAAGGCCACAGTCTGGGGCCCCCACAGGCTGTGATGGCCTTCCCGGATGCCAGGCTGGACATGCTCCCCACTCAGTGGCACTTAACGTTTACTCCATGAGGCTTAAAAAGCAAAACCTAAAAAAGCGAGCACTGGACTGGAGCTGCAGGGGAGGGGCCGGAGGGGGGGCGGAGAGGAGACCGGGGAGCCCCCCCCCGCCCCCCTTGGCAGTCTCCTTGCCTCCCACTCCCCCAGCCCCGGGAGCCACCCGGGAAGAAGCCTCAGCAATGAGAAACACTTCATTTGTCACCACTGCCTAAGTTTTATTTTTACACATTTTACATTTGAAAGATTCCTGAGGCTCCGTCATAAATAAGAAAGATGGAAAGTGAAAGTTTGCAAACAGATGAAGCCAGAGTGACATCTGCTAACACTGTGTGCGGAAGGAAGCCGGCGTGCTGGGACGGCGGGGACTCTCTCCCGACGGGGACAGCCTGGGCACGGGGTGCCGAGGGGCCCCACCCAGCTGACACACCACCCCGGACTGGGCAGGATGAAAACCTCCGTGTTCAGGCACAGGCGGGCAGAACTGGCGTGTGGGTCCATAACACCACCAAGCTCTAAGCACGGGCCGTCTGTCTGTCCTAAGAAGGACGGGGCACAGTAAAGACCGTCTACGCAGCTACTAGAGCATCCCCGAGTCCCGTCCGGGAGAAACTCCAGGGCTGCGCTTCCCGTCCAGGGCTGACCCTGCCGCCAGGGGACACGGGGCCATGTCTGGGGACATCTGCGGTTGTCACGACCACAGGACAAGGTGCTCCTGGCACGGAGGGGGTGGAGCCGGGGATGCTGCTCAGCCCCCACAGCACCCAGGGACGCCGCGCAATGACCCACCCCACGTCCACAGTGCCGAGGGGAAAGACCCTGCGCCAGCACACCTCACATTCTAGAACGAGCCAGACATGGGGGCGCATGGTGCAGCAAGCCCTCCACCCTCCCTCACAGTGCGGGAGGCAGGACAGAAATAGCCCAGGACATGGAAGCCGGCCCAGGCTCTGCAGCTGGCTCAGTCCATTCCAATCGAGAGGGTTATTATTGCTTTTTAATAAAATAAAAGGGGGCAGGGCCAAAAGATAAGGCGGTCTCTAATCTACCAGGATAAAAATAATTAATTTCTGGGCACACCCGCAGGGCCCTGGAGGAGATGGCCCTGCACCTTCGATTCTGTTGTCGGCGGAGAATTTTCCACTGTCTGGACAAAGATGAGGTGACTCTTCTTTAAACAGCCTTTTATCACTTACATAGGGAGGATAAAAGTTAATCCCAATCCAAAGCACCTTTGTGGGATTAACGTCCCCCCCAAACAAGGAAATGAAACATTCCGGTCCTTCTGGGAAGATGCCGGAGGATGGGAGCAACTAATTTATGGCTCCGAGGCTGTGACGATTAATGCAATATCCCCAGTCTACAATGCTGCTTTCACTTAATTACCGCCTGTAATTGGGAGTTGTAAAGATAAGATTAATTGAATCTGGGGGATGTTAAAAGTTTAATACGTTGGAACGTGGCTCCTCTGTTATCAGAAAGTACAGACTGCAGGACGCTGGGCCGAGCGTTCAGAAGAGTGGCCCCTGGAGGGATTATAAAGCATGGGTGGACGGGAAGCCGACAGCCACAGGGACTTCTGGCTCCAACTGCCAAGGGAAAGCTGCCCTCCCACCACTCGGAACAACCCAGCGACAGCCTCAGGGTGCCGAGAAGCCCCAACGCTAGGGATGTGCCCCCCAGCCCACACCCCCGCCCCCGCAGGGGCCTCGGTAAGAGGCAAGCCTCAGATCTCAGCGGAAGGCAAGCAGAACTGGGGCGTGGGTCCTTCTGACACACAGCTCTGAGCGAGCTCGGGCCGCCTGCCCAAAGAGGGGGGTCAGTGAAGGCTCCGTCTGTACGGCTCCTTCCGACGGCTGCGAACCCTGTGGGCTATAGGTTCCCACGGAGCCCTCTCTCCATGCCACGGCCCTCTGGGTGCCCTGGGAGGCCCCCCGCAATGGGGGCCCAGGTGAGCTGGCTACAGAAGTAGCTAGCCTCCCAACAGGGATGGACATTTGCTCCTGGAGAAAAGTCCCCCCAGGCCCCAAGAGGCCCCCACAGCAGAGCCTCGTCATCCTGGTCACAGCCGTATCCCGCGTCCCGCCACCTGGAGGGGGCATCCCTGACTCTCGGGCCTGGCTCGGGGAGGAAAGAGGGACACGCAGCCATCTGGGTGGGGCATGTCTGCTCACCAACCCCTGAGGCAGGAGCAGCTGTCTGGCCATCAGCGAGCGAGCTCTCAGGGCCATAAAACAGAGTTGGTTTTATTGGTCACCGACATGGGAGCAATCTGTCTTGCTCCCCAGGACCTCCGTCCCCATCACAGGGTCAAACTTCACGGCCAAAATCAATCCACTTGGCCGGCCTGCAAACCCCTCTGGACATGGAGCCCCAATCGGCCGGTGACAAAGGGTTCTTGCATGGTTTCCTCGGACAGTCTCCCCAGGTGCTCTGGTCCAGTCCACTCCGGGTGGCCAGCAGGAGGCCTACCCCTGGCCCCTCTCGCCACTCTCGCTCAACCCCAGAGCCCTCTCAGAACTTCCACTGGCTCTCCCCATCCCTCTCTCAGCCAGTGTCAGGAAACCCCTCCGGCAAGGCTGGCTTCCCCTCGCAAGCTGCTGCCCATCGGCCCTGATGTCGTCCCCTTGGTCCAACAGCGCAACACCTCCCCCAGGGCCAGCCACGTCCCACCCCAAGACGGCACCTGGCAACACGCTCCTCCCCCAGGCTTGGGCTTGGGTCTGAGGCCCCAGCACCCAAGTCACGGTGGAAGAATCTGGAGAAGCTGGATAAAGGAAGTGGGCAGGAAAATCTCCAGAACCTGGTGAGCCATGAGAAGGCTAGCAGACTGGAGGCTTCAGAGAGCAGAACCAGAAATGCAGGAGTGCAGGGGCGGGGTGGGGTTGTCCTGGGGAAGGCTGCAGAAGGAATGGCCACCTGTGAGGGAATTGCTCGGACTCCTTGCTTGCAGCAGTCTGAGGGACACAGAATGTGTCCCGGTCCTGAAGCGGGCCGGGCAGGAGTCTGGAACTTTCTACAAAGTGTCCCGCTTGGGGTCTTTATCTCTGTATTTCACCAGCCCTTCCCCTTCTGCATGTTCTCTCTGCTTTTGAACGTTCTACACTAAGTACTTCTGGGCAACACTAAACCAGAAAGTCCTGGAAGTCGGCACTGTCGGAACGGTATCCCTGGCAACCACTCCAGGTGACCCTGCAGAGGCTGCAGCAGGACCAGATAGGCTCCATAATTCCCAGTTTAATGCCGTGGAATTGCCCAGAAGGCCGACAGAGCCAGATTCAGGCATCATTTGCCAGACGCCCTTTTTGGAAAGGCAGCTGTCTGCAGACATCAGGGGCCTCGGGTAGAAAATAAAACAGTTTTAGATTAGGAATAAGGTACATGGGAGGCAACGGGAGACCCCAGGCCCCGGGCCCCCCAGGTGAGAATACAAGACGTGCGAGGCACAGTGGTTGAAAGACTGCTACTGTCCAGCCATTTCACGGTCCAAACGACCGGCCAACCAGAAGGAACATGCTTCAGGCGTGATGGTGAGCTGCCAGACCCGCACCTAGACACCGCGTTCCCGAAGGAAGTGACACCCAGGTCTGGGGAGGGACCAGATGGGCCACTCCAGGACGGTGGGCGTCCCCCAGCCTTCCCCGTGTTTCCTGCTCCTTCATTTACACTTTGAGGTACTCGGAGGGAATGCAACCCCCCCAATCACGGCCACCCCAAGAAGCCAAAGCTGAAACCCGCAAACCTGCCCACAAGGCCGGGTCCAGAGCGGTGAGCAATCACATCCGAGCCCTGCAGCCCGACACACAGGGGGGTCTGACCTGTCTACGAGTGCAGCCTGGACGCTAGAGAGGTGCACCATCCGGCCCACCCCGTGTTCCTGCTGTAACACTGAGGCCAGGGGGCGAGAGGTCTCGCCAGCCCTGCGGAGGCCAGGCCTGAGCCCAAGCTGGTGGCAGAGCCGTCTTGGGGACACTGCGTGGCCCCAGACGTCAGGAAGCTTCTGCCTGCTTGGGTCACAACAGACTCGGGGGCCTAATATACTCCAGGGCTTGTGACGCCAGGCAGGTGGCGGGTGCTTGGGTGGGCGGAGGCCTCAGCCTGGCAGCCGGGCGGCTCTTGGGGCCGGACAGGGCTGGGTAATTAAAAGGAGAGGCGTCCTCTGCGGCCTGCACTGCTTGCGGGCCAAGGGACAGGCCACTGCCATTTTACTGACTCACCGGCCAGGGAGAGTCTTCCTGTCTGCCGGGGAAGATGCTATTAATAGTGTCATTTTCTTGGTGTTTTGTTTATTCCCCCGGACTGGCTTGATGGATGTGAATAATTATCAGACTATAAAAGCCAGCAAATGTGCTATTTTCTATCGCTCTAAATCATCAAACAAATAAAGTGTGAAACAGCATTTTTGAATATAATTTTCCCCTCTAATGGCTTAGAGTTATTATCAAGAACAATGAAAATAAATAAGCAAATGCCTTGTGAGTTAAAAATTAAATGAGTTTGTCATGAAGAGGAACACAGACCATCTTGGAGAGCAGGGACCTGCTCAGGAGCCGTTAGTTACAATGATGATGAGCAGCAAGGCTTTGGGCCGTGCAGGCCCCCTTCCAGCCAGAGGCGTGAGTGCCTGCGGCCGCCTGGCCCAGGATGGGAGTGGCAGGATGCCTTGGACGAGGGTACTGGGGTGCCTGCAGCCTGGCACCTGTGCGCCCAGCTGACCCCCAGCAGCCCCAGGATCCTGAGTGTTGTT